CTCCTTCAGGTTATTTCTGGAGCTTCCCCTAAGGATTCAGCATTATCCCTCACTGGCATCTGATCTCCGGGCAGAGGCAGCATGATCCTGGGCTAAGCCCCTCCCACACCCTCACCTCAGCCTCTTTCCTGCCCGGCAGCCCAGACGAGGACTGTGCAGAGGGAGGGAGGGAGGGAGGGAGAGCCTTAGCCCTTCCATCCAGCTCCTGGGTGTGAGTCCCGGCTCTGCCTCGGGAGACCTTAGCCCGGCCCTCCATCTCTAGAGACCTCAGTTTCCTCATCTGGAAAGCAAGATGGGTGGGCGAAGTGAGGGGCTCGCAGACCTGTGGTCTGCAAACCACTGGACAGGTGTCCCAGGAGGGAAAGAAGACACGCATCTCCTTCAGCCGTTTAGCCCATCCCGGCAGCTCCAAGACCATTTGACATCTGCAAAACAACATCATTAGGTGCGTGTTAACTTTTCCCCACTGGTAGGCCGAGTGTTAGTAAATGTACTGTGACGAGTGGAATGTGTTTATGAGAATGTGCATAATAAATTATCAAAAAGAGCTGCATTTTTAATATTGCTTAATACATCAAGTTCGCCTCAGCAGCCACAGGCTATACTGCAAACGCTTACATTGACTTGCTGACGTCGGCACTCCGCCATGCTCCCATGCCGAGGCCATGGGGTCCGCCAAGGAAGAGGCAGCGATCAACCACAGTGAGCGGCTCCCATGTCCCTTCCTGACTTGCCCTCCATCATCGGACTCTAAAGGGAAATGGGGCTTCTTTCGTCACTGGGCCCCCCGCAGAATGTAGCATGGGGTCTGTCACAGGTAGGAGTTCAATAAATATTGTTAAAGTGTGGATTCACAAATAAATGAGTGACAAGGGCCTCTGGAAGGCCTCTCTCCATCAACCGGGCAACAGTACTTGGAACTCCTCCATTGGCCCCTCCTTTGGGTAAAGAATTCCTCTAATTCCAGAGAAGGTTCCACCAGCACAGCATGCCAAGAGCTCCTCCAGGAATCAGGGAAGGGTGGAAACTGGGAGTACACGTTAGGCCAGGGCCAGGGAGGGCCCTTCCTTCCAGGGCATGGGGGCACCAGCCAGAGATGCCAACCAAGGACATCCAGCCAAGTGCAGGGTGGAGGTCATTTCCTCTAAAATGCCTGTTGCTCACTACAAGGAAAGGCTTTAACTGGCCGTTCTCAGCCAAGAAAGAAGTCCTAACGCCCTAAACGGGATGTATGAGACTCCCCAGTGGGACTTCGCCAAAGCGGTCTAGAAATTCCGCCTCCTGCCTGGGTGTTGCGCATTGAACAGCGTGGAGGCAGCAAAACAGGTTGAGAATCACTGTATTAAACCATTAGCACCTTCTAACCCAGCGATTCTCATAAAAATAATCATGCATAAAAATAATCCAGGGGTGCTTGTTAAGACGCACCCATGAGTCTTCATGCACATATCCCCGTCAGTGGGCGTGAAGCAGGGGCCTGGGATCTGCATTCTTAATAGGCATCCCAGTGGTACAGACGCCTGAGCCATCCTTCCGGGAACCCCCTCCTACCTCATCTGACAGGGGCCTTTGTGTGTACTGAGAGAGCTCAGAAGCCTTTTGGGAGAAGCAGGTGTGAGAGAAGCAAGGGCATGGGGTTCCTGAGGGCTGTGGCCGAGGGCAGACTCTACCCGCTTAACTTTGCTGAAGGCCAGTCCAGCTGCCGAGCCGCCCACCCCAGCACAGAAGGCAACATGATTGATGGGGTCTGGACACGCCCAGCTGCTTACAGATCCCCACACATGCCAGCCGGTGCCCCAGCCTTGGCAAGTACATTCACTTCTCCATGCACTGTCCCCAGTGTCCTCACCTGGCATTGCCACAGACAGGGAGAGCGCTGCCAACCGCATTTCGCTGGTAGAGACACTGAGGTGGTCACAGGGCGTGTGGTGATGGTTTGCACTGGGAAGAGAATCACAATTCACTGAGCGCCTGTTGCACGCCAGGTGCTGTCCAGGCACCTGAGATGCCTCCCACCTTCATTTCTCACGAGGCCATTTGTTCGCTGCCTCCGTACTCCACAGGCGAGGCTGCGGGCCTAAGCCACCGGCCCAAGGTCAGACGCAGAAGGAGTGAGACAGGCTTTTGACTTCAAGTCTGCCTGACTCCCCTGCCCATTCAACTTCTAGAAACTGGACACCTGCCCGCATAACACCAGTTCTACCCCTCCAGGCGGCCCTACCCCGTCTCTGCTTGGCTCACAGCTGGAGGAACTCAGACCTCAGAGTGGCTCTTGACTCTGCCATCTGCTGGAGGTTGGCCCCACGTACGCCACGTGTGTCTCCAGTGGGCATCCTGGGGTTCCCTGGCTGGATCCTTTGGAGGCTGGGCCCTCCACCCCACTTCTTCCAGACCCTCCCCAGAGCCAGCACCTGCAGAGCCAGGAGCTGTGAGCTGATCCTGCAAAAAGCTAGACCCACAGAAGATCAAGAGGCCGGGAGGGAGTGGTCAGCCCCCTTCTGTCCCCAGCCGCAGTAAACACAGAGGTAAAGTCGTGAAGTCAAAAGGGCACAGGATCAGGGGTCAGGATAGCCAGGCTCTCATTCCCAGTCCCTTGGCCTGAAGTCCTGAAGCCTCAGTTTCCCCACCTGTAAGATGATGACAACACTCTCTTGCTCCTCAAACGAAGGAATTATGAAATGATGGCTCAGTGTCTGTATCTTAATACCCCATATCATTACATAATCACTTTGCAATGCAGCCACCTCTGGCACAGAGGGAGTCACTCTGTGACTATTTAAGGACTAATCCCCTTAAGCATTCCTGGAAATGAGAAACCCACTCGTGTCAGGCTTCCAGGCTCTCCTGTCCTTTCCTTGGCCTTTGACTGTTGGAAGGCTGGATTCTTCCCCCACCAGGACCTCTGATTGTCCTCAGGGAGCCCCCAGGCCAGTGCATCCCCACTGTCACCCCCTCTCTCTTCCTCTCCTCTTCCTGCTCAATTTGGGCTATCCCCATCCACAGAGCCTCAGGAGGAGCTTTGGAGAGCAAGGTTTTACTTGTGTTTCCAGCTCTGCTCTGACCTCTCGAGCACTGAAGGAGTAGGGAGGGAGAGGCAGGGGTGTGCGGAGTGGAAGCCCCCAAAAAGTCAGGACATCTGGGTTCTAATGCCAGCTCTGCCCCCAGCGAGCAGTCACCCTGGGCAAGTCACTACATCTGAGCTTTAATTTCCCCACCTGCAAAACGGGAACAGTAAAGCCTGCCTGCGACAGAGGGGAGTAGAAGGAATCTGTAGGATGACACCTTGAACGTTCTTGACACAGTACACAGTAGTTTTCAACAGTGGGTAGTGACCGTCACCGCCCGGGGCAGAACTTGCCATAAAAAACATGGTTCTCCATCATCTCTCATTCGTGAATCTCGTCTCCCAAGGGAAGGGAGAAGAGACAGCCAGCCCCAGTGCACACCTCTGATCTGTCACGCTTTGTCATAGATGGGGCCTCACCATAACGCTGCAAGGTTGGAATTAGTCCCATTTCACAGATGAGGAAACTGAGGTTCAGAGAGACCAAATGATCTGTCAGAGTGATGCAGCTGGAAGTGAGGAGGGCGAGGCCTCCTCTCTCTTCTCTCTGCTCCCCACCCTCCACATGGGTAATGGAGAGGGGAGGGGCACAGGTCTGGGGCCCCTCATCTCACAGAAGGGATCTAGCCAAGAAGATAAGCATTTCTGATCCAACAGTAGAAACCAGGGAGTAAACAGGATTCCGTCCGTCAGTGCCCAGGGCTTTCTGGGGACACACCTGTATAAGCAGCAGCCATTTCCCAGCTTTGTTCCCGGAAAGCAGGACAACAGGCAGGGCTGGGCCTCTGGGATTTGTTTAGTTATCTGACCATGTGGGAGGCCTGCGCTGTGGCCAGGCAGCGCCCTGCTGCTCCACCTCCACTGCATCCATCATTCACATCATTCACCAGGAAGGTCCCTTCTGCCCCGGCCCTGCCTGCCATCACCAGCAACTGACCACAGCTTGTGGTCAAGGTTCTTACTCACCCTGTCCCCTTGGGGGGTGGGGCTGGGTCCCTCAAACCACTCACTGACCAAGTGAGAGACTGACCCGAGGTCACAGAGTGTGTGTGTGTGACCTGAGAGGAAGTGTGAACAGATTGTGCCAGCAATGACCTTGGACAGCTGAAGATGCACATGTCCTGCTAGTGTGTGAGCAGCCTGTCCTTGCACTCCTAGGAGTGTGTCTGTGTGTCCTGCTAGATGCATGGGGGGAGGGCAGTCTGTGCCCTGAGTTCCCTGATCACATTTATGAGCGTGTTTGTGCATCCTGTTAGGTGTGCTCGAGGACATGGAAGACTGTGCCCTGAGTCCCCTGATCACCTCTGTGGGCGTGTTTGTGTGTCCTGTTAGGGATGTGTGTGCATGGGGGGGGGGGGGTACTCTGCCACAGCAACCTCAACCAACCCTGTATGGGTCCACACGTTTGTGTGTGAGCCAGGGGACGCTTCTGCCAAGCGTCTGTACACGTTTGTGTGTGCTTGGCATGTCCTTGCACACCGGCGTGCGTCCTGTGAGAGTAAACGGAGCCCAGCAAGTGCTGGCACGCGTGGAAATGCGCGCGTGTGCGTCCTGCGGATCCCAGCGCAGCTCCCCGTCCGTCCTGCCAGTGTGCGTGAGCGGAGGGCACTCGGGGGGCCCTGCTCGCCCGGGTGTGCGCGGGCGGGGTCCCGGGCCGGCGTGCGCGCCGGTGGAGTGCGGGTGAGTGCGGCGCCGCTCGGCTCGCTCCGCGCGCTCCGCGCCGCCCGCGCAGCCCGCACACTCACACTGCTTGGCTGCTGCCGGGTGACGCGGGCTGGGCCCGCCCCCTGCCTGCCGGCCCCTGGCACTCACTCGCGCCGGCCGCCGCCGAGCAGGCAGCAGCCGCGTCAGGGCCGTCTGGGGGCACCGCCGACGATGCCCGCAGCCCCCGCCGCGCCCCGCCGGGCCTGCTGAGCCGCCCCCGGGCCGGGGCCGCGCCGGGCCGGGCCGGGCCGCGCCCGGGCGGGGCCGCGCTGCCTGCATGACCCTCCGGCGGCGCGGGGAGAAGGCGACCATCAGCATCCAGGAGCATATGGCCATCGACGTGTGCCCCGGCCCCATCCGGCCCATCAAGCAGATCTCCGACTACTTTCCCCGCTTCCCGCGGGGCCTGCCCCCGGACGCCGGGCCCCGCGCCGCTGCGACCCCGGACGCCCCCGCGCGCCCGGCCGCGGCCAGCGCGGGCCGCCGCAGCCCCTCCGACGGCGCCCGCGACGACGACGAGGATGTCGACCAGCTCTTCGGAGCCTACGGCGCCAGCCCGGGCCCCAGCCCCGGCCCCAGCCCAGCGCGGCCACCCGCCAAGCCCCCGGAGGACGAGCCGGACGCCGACGGCTACGAGTCCGACGACTGCAGTAAGTTTCCAACACGCGACTTCTCGCCCCCTCCCCCGGCTCGGGCTCTCCCGCGCTGCCCCGACCTCGCTGGTCCCTTGGACCCCCGCGATCTCCCGTTTTCCCTCGGCATACACCCCACGCCGCGTCTCAGCCCCTCGCCTGCTGCATGCGCTCTCCGCGCGCCCTGCAGATCCAGCCCCGACACCTCCCCCGACCCCGACTGGAGAGGTGGGAAGTTTGGGGGCGCCCCCTGGGGGTGTCCCACTTCCGGGGCCCGGCTCCCCGGAGCCCGCGCCGCGCCCCCTCTCCGCCCACCTGCCGGGAGCTCCAGCGCGGGCGGCGGCTTTTGTTCCCGGGAAGGGCGGAGCTGCGCCCGGGGAGACACCAGTTGCTGCCGGCCGTGCGGTCGCTGCCCGCCCAGGAGCCTGCTGCGGGCCAGCCCCGCGGCCGAGGTCCGGGCTGGGGTGTCCGGGCAGGGGGGCCGGGGTGGGGCCGGGCCGGCCTCGTGGGTGGGCCTGGCGGCCGGCAGAGAGTGGCGGCTTTGCTGGCGCGCGGGCCGAGGACCAGAGGACCGCGGGGCCGCTTGTCCTTTGGACAAACCTTGGCGGTTCCTCCTCCCGTGTCCCTGGACCCCGCCGCTGCCCTCGCCTGGGCCGCAGACCTTCGCCCACCTGTTACGCCCACTTCCCCCGGCCAGGAAGGGGCCCTGCAGCCCGCGCCGCCTCCTCCCCGGGCTGAGCCCCGAGCCCCAGGGAGTAGGCGAGCGCCGGGGTCCCCGAGGCCGAGGCCCGGCGGGCGGGCGCTCCTGGAGCCTGGCCCGTCTCTGAGGGTGCCGGCTCCGCCCAACCCGGGACTGGAGGGGAAACCGAGGCTGAAGAGGTCGCCACCAGTGCGGAATGGGTTTGCGCGGGATGGGGGTGGGGATGGAGGGAGCCCTGCTGGCAAGGCCCCCGACCCAGCTGTAGCTCCAGCCGCATCACTCTCAGACCTGGAAAGCCAGCGTCAAACGCCGGCCCTACCCAAGATGTGGACCTTTAGGGGGACGGGTCGCTCGCGGGATTCGCCAAGGCCCGCCTGGCCCCATCCCCCGCGCAGCGCAGCGAGATTGGCTGTGCCGAGCTTGGGTGCTCACAGGGGCCTGGAGCCGGGGGTCTGGAGTTTCCCGAGCATAATATGTGCTTCTGGAAGCTGACGGGGGGTACCAGTGCCACCGCGGGTGAGGGAGGGGCCGGCAGACCCCTCATCGCCCTACCTAGGGAGGCCCCGGGAGGAGTACCCGGGAGGAGGCCCTTCAGAGCTGGGCCTGTGTGGGGAAACTGCCTGCTGTGCACTTTCCCGGGCCTGGACCACAGCCCTGCGGCCAGAGCCTGGCGTATTGAGGCCCTGCCAGGGGTAGGGCGTGGGGAGCAGTCCTCTGTCTGCACTTCCCTGCCAGCTTGGGGAAATTGGGTGGCAGAGTTGATTGCCCTCAGGGCTGTGCCCGGATCTTCCCCACCCCCAGCTCCTGGCCCCTGGGCAAAGCACATCCCCTCACTTGCACACCTCCAGGCAGGTGGTCACTGGGACCCAAGTCACCCCTTTGGACGCCCTGAATCCAAAGCCACCTCCAGAAGAAGGGGTAGGGAACTCTTCCCTTTCCAGCATCTTTCTTGCTTCCCCGAGGGAGTGAGAAGGTGGGCAGGGCAGAGCTCTGAGTGTCAGGCAACCCTCCTGTTGGCACCAAGGGTCCTCTGGATGACATACGGCAGAGAGGCGAGAAATCTGGTCATTTTTTTTGGCTATCTCTGAACCCCCAGTCAAGGAGGGGACCAGAAATTCCAGACTCAGGCCAGCTGCTCCGTCTCCATTCCATCGACTCAGCAGTCCTCCACTGAGCACTGTCCTAGAGCAGAGAGTGGGTGATGGGGATAAGGGCTGGGTCTCTGGACCCAGGGAGCTCCTGGGTCTTAGCAGGGGACACACGTGCTTGGGTCAGCAGTAGCAGGCAGCCCTGGACACAGCTTTGCCGGCCTGAACTGTGGGCTGGCCACACCCGGATGACCAGGGCGCTCTGCAGAACCGAGCTAAGGAGGCCGTGTGACTGAGCCAGGGCCAGCCTGGGCCCCCTCACCCCCTTCAGGGGGTGGCCCACCCTGGGCTTGGGTCCTATTAGCGACCAAGCAAACACCCCGGGCATGGGAGCACAGAAATCTTGGCTCCTGCCGGTGGGGGACCAGGTTCTGGGGTGGAACTGTTCTCTACCCGGCACCCTAGGCTGCGCCCCCCTCTCAGCTCTGACAGCCAGATCCCTAGAATAAGCCTAAATGATTCAAGCCAGATGGTTCATTACGGCTTTAGCCAGGGTTATGCTATTTGCTGCCCTAATTATTGGATTATCTCTGTTCTAACAAAAAGAAATTAGGGCGGTTGCTCTGTTGTCCAAGGCCGAGAGTGAAGTGCTGTTTATTTATTCGGCGTTTTTTTCCTTCTCTTTAAAGCTCATCTTTTATTAAGTCACCTCAAGGCACAAGCACAAAATTAACATGTTCTGAACTGATCTAATAGAGGGGCAGTGATGGGGAGTATACGCAGCGAAGGCCGGAGTCAGAAGGGCCCCCCGGTGCACTCCCCTCCAAGTGTCCGCAGCGCGGCCTGGCTAAGCCAGACCCCACTGCTGCTGCTCTCCAGGCGGCCCTGTGCCCCACCCTCTGCAGGGGCCACTCCCTGCCTGAGATGCTCCCCCGTCTGCTCTCCACCTGTGGAGACCCAGGCCATTCTTCAAAGCTGGAAGGACCAGAGGTTTTGGGTTGCAGGTGACAGAAAGCTCAAAGCGCCTCAAACAGGGAGGGCAGCTGAGGTTGTGTGGCCCCGGGGTGGGTTGGTGCTGCCTCTCGTCAGCAACATCAGTGGTGAGGGTTCTGGGTGGCTTCTCACTTGGCCATGCTCTTTTCCTCTTAGGCTGACCTCCCTCAGGGTCCAAGGTGGCTGCTGCAGGTCCAGGTGTCACATGTAAGATCCTAAATTTGATAAGGATCAGTTTCCTCTCCCATGTCTCAGTTTAAGTGTGAGGAAACTCTCCCAGAAGTCCCCAGGAGACCTGTCCTTCTGTCTCATTGGCCAGAACTGCACCACATGCCCATGGGTACACCTGCCTCTGAGTGATTCACCCTGGGCTGACTCGGACTGAGGCCCATGGAGGCCTGGAGAAGGGTGGAGCGGAGGATTTGCTGCTGGCCTGCCTCAAAGGCCCTCAGCTGGGAGCATTTCCGGGTCCCCCTGGCTGTGAGTCCCTGTCCTGAGCCCGGTCGTGTTCTGCTCAGACCATACTTTTATGCACTCCACATTACGTGACCAGCTATGTGTGAGGTGCTGTGCTAGGCACAGAGATTCAAGAATGCCTGAGACACAATCTCTGACATCAGGGAGTTCATGGAAACTAAGACACGCAGGTGGCCCAGCAGTGAGGACGGGGAGGCAGGACCCCAAATGGGAAGTGGTGGCTTGGACAGCATTCACCTGCAGAGAGAGCTGTGCTCTGAGGCTGGGAGTGGGGAGGAAGCAGGCTGGCAGAGAGGAAGGAGGAAGGGAGATGCTCCTGGCAGAGGGACTGCTCTGTGCCCAGGTAGAGAGATGGAGGAAATACAGCCCAGAGGAGGCACAACAATGGAGTCAAGTGGCTGGAGCAAGGGGAAGAGACTGATGGTGAGGACGAAGTGGTCATATCACAGAGGACCTTGAATGCCACACCAAGGAGGTTCACCTGAGTCCAGGAGGCAGTGGAGAAGCATTAAACAACTTGAAGCAGGGGAATGAATAGATGTGTAGAAATCCTAGCCCTCTGCCTCTGAGCTCCTGGGAAGCAGGGATGTGTGGCTCATTCCTCTCTGTACCCCCTTCAGTGCCTGGCTCAGTGCCTCAGTTTCCCCAACTATAAAATGCTTTCAAGTTGGGCTTGATCATTTTCTGTGATTCTTGCCATAGTCTTTTTAAAACTATTTGAGAGGCTGACATTTTTCTTCAAAAAAGAAAAGCAGGGCAGATTTCCTATTCTCAAGGGAGTATGGGTGAGGAAGGTCGGGCGGAGGCCAAGGTCAGAATGATGCTGTCAGTCTCCATGCGCCGAGCAGAGGATGCTGAGCCTTAGAGGAACTGACAGGGGCTTGAGCTTGATTTTCTCTGAATTAGCCCCATTAAGGCTCTATAATTATCGACAAGCGGGTGACAACTCTCAAAGGCCCATTAGTGACCAACCCTCATTATTCTTCCAAGGATGTAAACTTCGGCCAGGACATGTGGTTTGAGTGGCGGCAGGGCTGGCCCCCGTGGCTCACGCAGACCGGCACCTTCACCTGCCCTCGGTGTCCTCCTCACCCACACCACAAGCCCAGGGTGCGTGTCCAACTCCAAGGCCCCCCAGAGCGGCGGCCGAGTCTTCCCCACTCCCCAGGAACAACTCGTGCTCGTCTCTCTTTTGTTTCTCTGTTGCATCCTCCTAAGATTTCAGCTAAACAAAGTGGCAGACAAAAAATGTTTGGAAGCCACTAAGCTTTAAGGCACAAACTATCAGGACAGAAGTGAAGAGGCCTGGATTCTCTGTCCAGCTCTGCTGTGCCACCCTGGCCAGATCACCTCCCCTCTCTGAGCCTCACTTCTCTGCATGGGAAATGAAGACTTTGGCCTGTCACTTCCTGAGGAGAGCTCCACTACAAGTCTCTAAAAACAGTGCCCGAGCTTCTATCCATAAACTATAATTTCTTACAAAACTTCCATTGGAGTTCAAAAAAATTGATCCATGCCATCTTGGGGCGGTACGAGGCGTGCTGTTCCTTCCTGGGAAGTGATAGCGAGTGTCGTGTCACGAGCAGCATGGGGCCCTGAAACAGGGCTGTCTGCAGAGCCGGGAGGAGCGACTCTTCTCTCCTCCTGGAGCTGAGTTTCTCAGTGGGCAGCAGGGGCCCCTCTGTCTCACCGGCTTGTCCCTCTCTGGGCTCGAGAAACAGGCCGAGATGTCGGGGTGTGTGTTTTAGCAGGGGGCGTCACACCGAGTCCTGGCTCCCGAGAGCAGCTGCAGAGCGAGCTGGTTTGAACGGCTCGGCCATGGGGATTGAACACCTGCTCTTTGCGGGTGTTGCGGGCACGGCTGAGGCGTGGTCCCTGCCCTCGGCGGCTAATGTCTAGAGGAAACGGGCCACGGGCAGGCCGGAACCGAACAGCAGACTGATTTACTGTCACCAACAGCTTTGGGGGCTATTGTTACAAAAGCATAGACCTGGAGAGTCTTGGGCCTGTGGCTGTGTTAGTGTTACAGGCGTGGGGAGATGGACCCACTTACAGCACCCTCACCTGCCCACCCGCGTAGACAGGAGCGAGGACGCAGGCAGCCAAAGGCCAGATATAGTTAGCCCTAAAGCTCACGTCCTCACTCACGAAAAATACCCACGTTCCACTCAAGGCCTATTGACTCTTAGTTTGAACGCACTTCCAACAAGTATTCTCACCTGGTTTCATAGAAGAAACTAGCTATGGAACGGGAGGGACGGCTGTTTGTGCTGCCGGGGTGAGTGCTGTAACGGGAGCATCAAGCTGATGGCAAAGGAGGAGGCAGAAAAGTGAAGAAAACCTCAAAAAGCGTGGCCGCCTGGGATCACCTGGTGGGGGAACCGTCTCACGCCCCCTTCGCGTCTGGGCCGTGACCATGACGTACAGAACAGTGATCGTGGCCACGGCAGTGGCTCGGGTTATTCAGACGAGCGTAGGTGACCGTTTGTATGTTCTGTTCACGAAGGCGGGGAGGGGTGATCCAGTTTGGAGCGAGTTCGTTCCAGAAGGCATCTCAGAGGAGCAAGTACAGTTGTCAGGAAAATCGCCTAAATGGATCTGCTCCTTCTATAATTATCTGCTGAGTGCGTTCTGTCCCCCGGGCGCCGTGTTAAAGCTCTACGCTGTGAGGTCGATACTTTTGTGTCTCCATTTTGCAGATGAGGAAACTGAGGCACGGCGAGGCTAGATAAGCTGTCGAAGGTCACCCAGCAAGGAAGTGCAGAGCTAGGATTTGAACCCAGGGTCGACGTCAGAGGGCAGGTCTCCCACCTGCCACTGTGCCCCCCAAGCAAGGACAGAAACACTGAGCCATGTGCCTTACCCTGTGTTAGGAGCTGGGGAGCAAGACAGACGCGAGTGGGTGCCATGCCCTCAGAAGAAAGGGCCCCTCCATGCACGTGTCCTGACTGTGCCCGTTTCTCTGCAGACCTGGAACTTTGCTGAGCCTGGGGCCTGCAGCCGTGCAGGCCCGCGGGCCGTCTGGCCTCTGTGGCGTTTGCTCCTCTGCCGTTGTAGTGTGAAAGCAGCCAGGGACAAGGACTAAACAGATGGGCGTGGCCGGACTTGGCCAGGGGGCCACAGTTTGATCTAGACCCAGGTTCAATGCCCCTGCCCTCCCCCCAGCATCACTCCAGCCACACAGCCCCCCATGCTCAGGTCATCCTGTGGTTGGAATGCCCCCTGCCTCAGCTCCACTGCGCACTGGCCAACTCCTGCTCACCCTTCACGGCTCAGGTGAAGTGTCACCTCCTCCAGGAAGCCTTCCCTGATGACCTCAGTTCACATTGAGGCCAGGCATCCCCCTTGGATCCCTCCTTCATCGCTCCTGGCCCACCAGACTCTGTGGTGGCAAATTCTTTTCATCTGCTCCTCCCATTAAGCTGTGCTTTCCTTGGGGCGGGAACCCTGCCTTACTAATATCTCCATCCCTAGAGTCTGACGTATTGTAAACATGTGGTAAAGAATGAATGAATGAATGAATGAATGAGATGCAGGTTCACTAGCCTAGCAGCCTGTGAGCAGGTTCTAGTCTTCTGAAGACATCCTGCAACATGCACCTTGATGTCCAGACACTGCCCCCGAGGTCTGTCCCCCACACAACCCCCGCCTTCGTGCAGGGAGCCACAGCTGCTGTGGGAGTGCCCCTGAGGGTCACAGCTGCACCCAGTTCTTGCTGCGCCCTCTGCCCGGCCCTTGGGAATTGCCCACTGCCTTTGAGAGGCTCAGGGTAGCAGCACGAGGACCCAGCTGGCTCCCCACAGCCTGCCCAGGCCCCCAGAGACCAGAGAGACCTGGGAACCACAGCCCCGGGGGTTGCCTGGGGGGCCGGTGAAGGGATCAGCCAATCAGCCCAGCCAGGGCCTGCAGCCGCACAAAGCCCTGTCTCCTCTGCCTTCTCCCGTAATCTTTGTGACGTTTAACAGGTAAGGGAAACTGAGGCATGGCGCCCAAACGGGCAGTTGCACAAGCAGGGCAGGAGGACAGGAACCGCTTTAGCTGAGTGTCCGGTACACGTGGACGCCACACTGGGCCAGCCACAGGCCAAGCAGCTCCGCGCAGGGCCTAAGGGGCTGGGCTGTGGGGCCGACAAGCTGGGGCTGACTCTTGAGCTGCCACTCATGGTGACTGGGGATGGCCGAGCCCCAGCTCCTCACCTGGAAAGCGAGGAGAACACTGCCCGTTTCCCGGGGCTGGAGGGCCTGGCCTGTGGGAGGTACTCCGTGGGTGGCAGTCGCTGTGGGGACTGCAGCAGCTGCCCAGGCCAGGCTCGTGCGGCTGCACAGGGGTGGGCCCCCTCGTGGCAGTGGGTGACCTGAGCCCTCCTCTGTCCGCAGCTGCCCTGGGCACGCTGGACTTCAGCCTGCTCTATGACCAGGAGAACAACGCCCTGCACTGCACCATCAGCAAAGCCAAGGTAGGCCCGGCCACGGCCCGGGGCCGTCCCGGAGGAGGCGCTGAGGCTGGGGGAGGCCAGCCAGCTGCCGTCTCCTGTCCAGGCCCCGGGGCAGCCGTGCCACGCAGGCAGCAGGGCACGGAGGGAGTTCCCACCTCCAGCATCCCTGCTGCCCGGAAAGGCCCCACACAGGGGTGTCTGTGGAGAGAATGAGAGAACGGAGGCCTGGCGGGGCTTTCCGGGGACAGAGGCCCCAGAGCCAGGGAGGGGAGGGAGGTGACAGGCCTGCCCTGCAGGCTGAGAGGGAGGGTCGGGTTCAGATGCCCCCCGGCCCCCCAGGGAATGGGCAGCACTGGACGTTGGTGCCATGAGAGAGGCCGACGCGACTCCAGGCAGGGGAGTGACCTGCTGCCCTGTCAGGGCCTGAGCTGGCTCTCTGGGCGGGGGCACGGGTGTCTGTAAACCCCGCTGTGGCCCTACCCCGCGGGCTGGCACTTGTCAGCGCTGGGTTCTCAGCCTTGCTGTTCCCTTTGTCCCCCACCACATCGCTCCCTCTGGGAGGAAGGTGCCAAGCTTGATGTTCTCCCGCAAGGTAAGGGCAGAGGTGCAGCCCAGTAGAGCCTCTCAGCAGAACTGTGGAAGTGCCTGGGCCGGCTAGGAGCAAGGACTTCCTGCAGAGCTGCCCGGGCTCCCCACTCCCCAGCCCCCCAACCTGTGAGCTTCTTGGTCCACCCGCCTCCCTGCCCTTGGCTCTGCCACCCGGAGGGACAGGCTGCCAGTACTGCCCAGCTGTGCCCCACCGGCCCGGGCCACCACACCCAGATGCTGTGGGCAGGCGTGAGTAGTGTCCACCTTGGGCTTCTAGAGGCCCACGCCCTCCATCCCCACTTCCCCACCCCTGCCCTCTCCTCTGGGAGCTGCTCGGGCTGTGATGCAGGGCCCACCCAGCCTGGCCTTGCAGGGGCTCCGCACCTGCCCCTAGGTCCAGAGCTGAGTACCTGGTGACCTCCAGCTGTGCCAAGGTGGAGGGCAGGCCTCAGAGCCCGAGCAGACCCTTCCGCTCTCCTTCTACCCGGCCTTGTAGAGGTTGTCCAGGCTTGGGGACTGGGAATGGGCACTGGCTGCCAGGCCACTCTGGCCAGAGCCATCCCTTCTCCTCCCCATCCCAGACACCAGGGCCCCTCCTGTGCCATGTGCCCCGACTTCACTGCCCAGGCTCCAGCGGGACTGTGCGGGCGTACGAGAGTGTGTGCATGTGTGTGCAGGCACAGGTCTCTGTGGGCACTGTGTTTGCACACATACATATGTGTGTGTCCACTTAAGGGGTGTGTTGCTCAAAGCATTGGAGCAAGGCATGGGAGGACCCCAAGCCATGGCAGCTCCCCCATTCTCCAGTTCATTCTCTGCTTAGATCCTGTTCTGCAGGGGCGAGGGTGGTGCAGGAAGGGGAGGGGCTGGGCCCTGGGCTGGGTTGTGGGGAGGAGCCCCAGTGGGTGGGGGGGCTGAGGCAGGGATGACAGGCAGAGCCCCTCGGGGGTTCCTTGGAAGGAGGCCAAATGCCCTGGCTCTGGACCCTGGCTTGGCCACCTTCCTTGGGTCAGCAAAGCAGCCTCAGTTTGCTCATCAGTAAAGTAGCGTTCGTCGTCCCCACTGTGTGATGGCTGTGAGCTGAAATGAGGAAGTGCTCAGTACCTAAAGCTGTCCTCGAGGACTGCCTGGTGGCAGGCGCCCACTTCCACCCCCCGAACATGGACACATGGACACTCATTTCCACAGAGGAGCTGGGAAAACTGACAGCACTGCCAGTCCTGGACACTTCGTGGGAGAGGCTGGGATGAGGGACCTGCGTCTGGCAGGGCTGCCTCACTGTGTGAGCGCTCACGGGGCCTGAGAGCAGCGAGCTTCGTCCCAGAGCTGGCTCCACGGAGCAAGGCAGAGTTAGAACCCCAGCCGCTTCCACACAGCTCAGATGCCCCACCCCAGCCCTCAGCCGCTTCTCTGGCATCTTCCAGGGGGCTTGGTGTGTAAGAGACGGGGAGCCAAGGCCCCGCCAGCCAGGCCCTGGGTCAGCATCACCTCCTCACCTGTCACTCCCGCCTGGGAGGTGGGAACTGTTAACCCCTTTACGGATGCTAAAGCTGAGGCTCACCGCCTCGCCCAGCTAATGCGTGCAGCTGAGGGCTGAACCTGGGCTGGCCTGGATCTAAACCCGGGTGCCCTTTCCCTGAAGCAGAGCAGTGGGTGGTTGGCAGCCCCCCCTCGAATCTCAACCCCTACCTGGGAGCTCCTCCCAATCGGGGTGGGGGCCCCGGGAGAAGAGGCTCCGCTCTTGGAGGGGGGCCTGGTCACGAGCAGACAGTTTGCAGTTGGTCTTTGAGTGAAGTCATGGCGTTGCCACTTCTGCCCCCCATGCCACAGCGGCCCCCTCCATGCCCAGGCACCATCCCAGGAGGAGAAATGCAGTTTTCGGAAACGAACAGGCATGAGGGCGGCTAAGCCCGTCTGCTTACGGCTCCATTTGTTCCCTGGCTGTGCACACTTGAGCGATTGCTCAAAGTGAGTGACGGATGCCATCTTGTGGAGGGTCCCTCCATGGCTAGCTGGCTGTGTGGCCTCCAGAGAGAAATTGAGAACATTTTCCCATGGCCACCAAGGGCTGTGGGGGGACGAGTGGACAGAGGGTCACGTGGACTAAGGGTCAGTGAGGGAGGTCGCCATGTTTGGGGAGTGGGGGGAGTGGTAGCAGGAAGAGGGAAGGGCCTGATCAAAGAGGATGATGAGGGCCTCAGTCAGGGGAAGGTGACTTATCTGGCCTCTGTGATAAGGAGAACAGGAAGAGAAAGGCTGGTCTCACAAAGGGGCCTCGTGACGCCCGCCCTGGGCCAGGACATTTGTAGGGATGAGCTGCACTGCCATGGGGCCCTCCTTACACCCCATTCTGGGAGGGTGGGGCCAGGTGGCATCTGGGAAGAGGGTCATGAAAGGACCCAGCCAGGAGGCCCAGGGGGCAAGGGCTGTCTGCTGACCCTGGCACCTGGAGGCCCTGGCTACTCTGTGTCCCTGAGCCCCAATTCACACCCTTTGCTGTTCTCCTCTGCTCAGGGCCTGAAGCCGATGGACCACAACGGGCTGGCGGACCCATATGTCAAGCTGCACCTGCTGCCAGGAGCCAGTAAGGTGAGGGAGTCTGCCCCAGGCCTCCTACCAGCTCTGCCCACTTGCCATGACTAAGGCCCAAGCTGGTCTTAGGGCACCCAGAGAGGCCCATCGCTCCCACACCCCTCAGAGCCCAAGCAAGCTGATGGGACCTCAGCCATTCACCTCCACCCGGAGCACCCAGTCAGCCCCACACCCTCCAGACCTCAAGTCAGCACTGCCTGCCTACTGAGTCAGGGAAACCCTCCAGAGAATTTCCAGGCCGGCGTTTTATAAGAAGCAGTTCCAGCTGGAGGTTAATATTATGTGCAAAAAAGGGTTCTGTGGTCAGATAACATTGGGAAACATTGTTAAACAGGTTTCTTTACTGCAGGGCTTATCAGAGCCTTTAATGTGTCGATTGGCAGCTCTGTGATGCCCCACAAGGGGGACGGAGTAGGCAGCGTCTGCCCAATTCTCTTGACCAGAGAACCGTTGTTTCCATGCCAGATGACCCCGTAGGCAGACCAAGCATGTGGTGCATCTAGGAAAGGAGAGAAAAAAATTTTTTTAGAAAAAAGTTGCTATTAAACAAAAGCATCAAGGTGACCCTCGGCACTGGAAGATAAAACTTCATCAGACTTCCTTACCTGTGTCTTGCAGTTCAGCATTGTTTTATTTTAATTTCGTAGGAGGCAGGGTCCCATCATCTTTTCTGGGGTGAGTCCTGCCCTGGCACCCACAGACGTCTCAAGGGGCAGGTTGTGCAGACCCCAGGCTGGGGGGGCTTCACTGGAGACCAGCAGCTTTGCTTGCACGTGTTGACCGGGGGAGGCAGGGCACGAGGGACACAGGACACGGAACGTGAGCGGCAGAGCCCGGCGGCGGGGGTTCTCGTCCAGCCTCTTCCTCAGAAGCCGAGAGCTGGGGAGCTCCTTCCTGGCCCTCAGGTGGCCTGACGGGGAGGGAGAGTCAGTAACGGGAGGGCTGCCCTGGCCACTGCTCGGGTCTCTTCCTGGCCAGTTGGACAGTCCTGCCCCAGAGCTGAGCAGCCACAGGCTGCTAGGGCCTGAGCTGACTCTGAGGCCCAAACCCTCAGCATGAGAGTGTAGGGCTGGGGCTCCCCGCCGGTCCAGGAGGGCCCCCCAGAGGGGGCGATCCCTCCTCTCTAGGAAGGCAGGGCAGCAGGAGAAACAGCGGTGGCCCGCCACCCACAGCTGGTGAAGTGGGTTCCCCACTGCAGGCCTGGACCACCTCAGGCTGCAGGTGGGACCCTCAGGGCTGTGAGGGCCGAGGGCAATGTGACCGGAGGAATGTCCCAACTCGGGAGCTCAGTGACCCTGCGTCCCTAGATTCATGGGACCTGGAGTCGGCAGTACCAGAGGCTGAGTCGAAGGGACCCCCACAGATCCCTGCATAGGATAGCCTTTTACAGAGAACCATCTCCTGATAAAGGCGGCTCCTGAATCAACTCTGAGCGAGAGGCATTATTATGCCTTTTTTATAGTGGGGACCTGACCCTGACAGAGGCCAAGTCACCCAGGGCTCCACAGGGCTTACGGTGGAAGCTGTGGATTCGAACCCAGGGCTGTCTGACCTCCAAGCCTGGGCCCAGTGTGGCACACGTCAAAGGGAGTCAGACACGGGGCTCAGAGTCTGATAGGGCAAGACGGGTAAGGGTGATAAGAACAGAGGCCCCTGGAAGCACCGAGGGGGAGTGAGGCAACATGGCAGCTTGGACAGGCAGCTCCACACGCATTCCCTAGGAGAAGTGCCCAGGCGGAGGGGACGGCCTGGGCAAAGGCAAGGAGGTGAGGGAGAGAGTGCAGGCTTCCCGGCAGCCCCGCCCCCACCACCTCCCGCAGGAGACACACACACACACACACACACACACACACACACACACTCTCTAGAGGCCTGCATGGCTTACTTTCCTGGGGCTGCAGTAACAAATTACCACCAACTCCGTGGCTTAACAACAACACAGATTTCTTATCTTGCAGCTCTGCAGGTTAGAAGTCGGCATAGGGCCCACTGGCTAAGACAAGTGTCACAGGGCTGCCGTCCATTCCAGAGGCTCTAGGGAGAAGCCATTTCCCATCCCTTTCCAGCTTCTAGAGGCTGCCCGCATTCCTTAGCTTGAGGCCCCTCCTCCACCTTCAGAGCCAGCGTGGCATCTCTCTCTTCCCTCATCACCTCTCCCTCTGGCTCTCCTCTCCTGCCTCCGTCTTCCGCTTTTAAGAACACTGATTCCATTGGGCCCCCACACATCATCTAGGTGACCTCCCTATTTCGAAGTCAGCTGATTAACAACCTCAGGTCTATCTGCAACCTTAATTCCTCTTTGCCATGGACAGTTAACGTAGTCACAGGTTCCAGGGGACTAGGCTGTGGCTGTCTCTGGGGGCCGTTATTCTGCCCACCGCCCTCCTTGATGCTCATGGGATCATTTTTGCTCTCGCCAGGCAAATAAGCTCAGAACGAAAACTCTCCGAAACACTCTGAACCCCACGTGGAATGAGACCCTCACTTACTACGGGATCACGGACGAAGACATGATCCGGAAGACCCTGCGGTGGGTGAGGGCCCCTGGCCGCGGGCTCTGCCAGCCCCCCGCCCCCACAGCCTTATCCACAGGGGCTGGCCCGGGATGTGCACACACACACACACACACACACACACCCAGTGCATGCAAATGCCCACTGACTCTGGAAACAAATTGAGAGCACCCAGGGCGTCTGAAGAGCTGGCCATGCCCTTTGCCCCACAGGATCTCCGTGTGTGATGAGGACAAATTCCGCCACAACGAGTTCATCGGGGAGACGCGAGTGCCGCTGAAGAAGCTGAAACCCAATCACACCAAGACATTCAGCATCTGCCTGGAGAAGCAGCTGCCGGTGAGTGGGCCCCGGCTGGGAGCTCGGGGCCAGCCACATTTATTGAGCACCTGCGATGTACCTGGCATGGTTTCAGGTGCTGGGGAGACAGACAGAAATCCCTGTCGTCACGGAGCTTGGGCAGGGGACAGGCCAAAAACGAGATAAATCACCCCAACGGATCTTATGTCAGGCAGTGATCAGGCCAGGAAGGAAAGCAGGAGAGGGGTCCATGGTTTAGATGGGTGCTCAGGGAAGGACTCCTGGGCCATCGGGGAATATTCCAGGCAGAGAGAACAGCAGGTGCGAAGCCGTGTTTGGGAAAGTGCCAAGGCCGTTGGAGGCACAGGCAAGAGGCCAACTGAGTGGGGCCAAGAGCAAGGGGAGGGGGTCCTAGGAGTTGAGAGCAGAGGTTGGGGTGGGGAAGTGGGAGGACTCGGGCCTTCACACTGAGTGAGATGGAGCATGGGAAGGGGCTGGGGCGCCTGACTACATTTAACAGGCTCGCTGGGCTCAGAGTGGGAAGGAGGGAGGGGATGAGCAAGACCCAGGCCTGGGGGGGCAGCAGCGCAGGGGGTGAAGTGCAGGATCCTGGAGGGTGAGGGGCCAGATGTGGCGCTCCCAGGTGTGGGGACAGCACCTGGAAGGATGAAGGGTCGTTATCTGTGATGTGGAGGACTGGGGGAGGAGCGGCTGGGGATGCTCAGGGCTCAACCGGAATATGTGAGGCGTGAGACACCCGGAGGAGACGGAAAATAATTCTTTCCCAGAAATCGCAATTGTTTGAAAATGATGTCAAAACCAATTCTGCCCCCTGGCCGTCTGCAGCAGCCGAGTCCTCCCAGAGTCTCGGTCCATTTGTCTTGGCCCTCCCTCCCTCCCGCCCCTCCCCTCCCCCAGAGGCTCAGAAGGGCTGGGAGCAGTTGGCCGGGAGGCCCCAGGTCCTGAGAAACTTTGACCCTCTGGCAGCCCAGTGTTGAGGGCACAATCCCTTTCTCAGATATTTTTCCCAGAGCCCAGCAGGCATCCCACGGGCCCACCTCCTGTGGGGCTGGGACGGATGCTCAGCATAGCCTGGCCTGAGTCAAGCCCTGGGAGCAAGTGGATCTGAGGCCAGAGCTCCTTGCCCCAGTCCCAGCTCTGTCTTTTTGCATACCTTTATCAAACTGTATTCCCTTGTCATGTGCCCTCCCACTCGCAGACATTTACACGATGGATATAACCTTTTTCATTGTATTATTAGTCACAGACACCAGGTAACCCGGTTTTTCCACATGATCCATGTCACTTATGAAAGGCAACATCAACTTCTTCTCTAGTTGTGTTCCTCAGTTGTGACCCCTGGCATAAACAACTGGGGGGGGGGGGTGAGCATGCGTGTGTATGTGTGTGAGTGTGAATCGCACGTGAGAGCCTCGTGTATGTGTGTGTGTGTCTACGTGTGAAAGAGTGTGCGTGTGGGCACGTGTTCAGGTGTGTGGAATGCGTGTGTTCATGCACGTGGATGCGTGAGCGTGTGCGTGCCTGTGCACGGGGCGTGATCAGGGCCTTGCTGAGCCTCACTTGCCAGGAGCTCATTGGTCTAGATTCGGAGACGCATGGCGACCACAGGGGTGCAGTTTGAGCTAACTGCTCTGGCAGTAAAGACACGTTTTGATGGTATATTGTAGATTTTACATAGTTTGTGAACATTAGTCGTGAGTACTGAACGATGCCCAGTCCAATGGTTTTCATGTGAAACGACCCAAAGTGTAATATCCAACCCCCAAAACACAGCTGGAAACAACCCTGCTCATTTGTATTGTTCAATTTTCACACATCACACCAGCTAGCTCAAGAGCCGTGGTTTCATGAGGCTGTCACACGGAAGCCCTAGGCCCTAGTTAAATCTCACACACCTAGTCTGGTCCATCGATAGTGGCTGACTGAGCGCTGTGATGAGAAAGATGCTGAGGCTGCATCTGAGCTCAGGGTGAATGCTGTGATCAATTAGCCATGTCTGCTCTGGCATCGGAGTTGAGGAAGGTGGCCCTTCCTTACCTCACACAAGCCCCATCTCCAGAGAGGTGTAGGTGTGGCCCCTGCCTACCAGAGGCCATGGGCGGCCGTCACTTTAGTGCCAGGCAGAGGACAGTTGTGGGCAAAGGGACATGGCTGGGACTTCGTGTGAGAGGAGCCTGGCAGAGAGACCTAAGGCAGGGCCCTTGGGGGTCACAGGACTCCAGCTGGGTGTGTCTGGGTGGATGGAAGGTAAAGGAGAGGGGTCTGGATGAGCAACAGCCAGAAGATGGAAACGGGTGGTCTCAGGAGGGACAGGAATGGAGAAACACTGGGCTGTCTGGGGCGGGGAGGCCAGGCGGTGAGGCCTCGAGTTGAGGTCTGACCCCAGAGGCAGGCACTGGGCAGATGCTGGGGCACAGGAGGGTGGCCCCTGGCTGCCCCAGCTCCCCCTGGGTTGGGAATGTATTGAAGCTCTCTTGTGGGTTCTCCCCAAGGGGACCACCCCCTGCCCCCTGAAAGGCTCCAGGCAGCACCTTCAGGGGCATTGGGGCCGGGGGACGCCCCCCCAACCCATCAGCCTCCTTTTGGCCTGGGCCAGTGGACAGCCTTGGTGGCCCGTGGCTGAGGGAGGAGGTGGGAGCAGGAGAGGACAGCGAGTGACCGCCTGCCCCGCAGGTGGACAAGACGGAGGACAAGTCCCTGGAGGAGCGGGGCCGCATTCTCATCTCCCTCAAGTACAGCTCGCAGAAGCAGGGCCTGCTGGTCGGCATTGTGCGCTGCGCACACCTGGCCGCCATGGACGCCAACGGCTACTCGGACCCCTACGTGAAAACGTGAGTGTGCAGCCCAGGCCAGCGCCTCCTCCCTCACCTCAAGGGGCGGGCGGTCTGTGTGACAAGACCGGTGGCTCGGTGGGGCGAGGACTCGGGGACCCCCTGAAGCGCCGTGGACGCTCTGCCCACAGGGACGTGTTCTCTTCTGTGCCCCTTCGGCAACGCTGTGGGTTAAGCCTGGGGGCCCCATTTCACAGATGAGGAAACTGAAGCCCGCAGAACTTGAGTGACTTCTCAGGCTGCACAGATGGAGAGTTGTTATCTCCTGATGCCCCTTTCAGGCCGTTCCGTGAGCACATGGGAGGGGCCGTGAGCAGGTGGCAGCAGGGGCAGGAGAGGGACGAAGCCCGTGTCACAGTGACCCCCATAGTGCTCTGGGCCCCCCACAAACAAAAGATGGCTATTAGTCTGTGTTCCCAGCGAGACTCTCTCGAAGGGCGGGACTTGGGGAGGAATTTGGCTCAGCAAAAAGATGTTCCTGCTCAGGCAGAGGGACAGAGGCGTTAAGAAACAGAAGCAGGGATGGACCTGGCTTGCAGGGACAGAGAGCAGGCCCAGGTGACAAAGGCCGTGTGGATGTCTTGACACCACAGAGAGGCCAGTGCTGCTGCGTGGCACAACTCTGGGGCCACCAGTCCTGAGAGCCCCTGTCATTTTTCTGTCACTTTTTAAATCAGGAGACAAAAATGGTGTAGCCGCTTTGGAAAAGGGTCTGGCAGTTCCTCAAAAGGTTAAACATAGAATTACCATGTGACCCAGCAACCCCACTCCTGGGGATATGCCCAAGAGAACTGAAAACAACGTCCACACGAAAACTTGTGCACGAATGTGCACAGCAGCACTATTCCAAACAAACAAAAGGTGGAAACCACCCAGATGTCCCTCACCTGATGAGTGGAGAAACGAAACGTGCACACCCACACAATGGAATATTATGCAGCCATAAAAAGGAGCGAGTGCTGATTCATGTTACAATGTGGATGAAACTTGAAAACATTATGCTAAGTGAAAGAAGCCAGGCACAAAAGGCCACACGTCATATGATTCCTTTTATATGAAATGTCCAGAACAGGCAAATCTATAGAGACAGAAAGTAGATTAGTGATGACCAGGGGCTGGGGAGAGGTTGGGAGGAAGCGCCAAGCGACTGCTAATGGGCACTGGATTTCTTTCTGGGTGATAAAAATGTTCCACAATTGATTGTGGTGATGGTTGCGCAACTCCATGAATATATTGAAAACCATCGAATTGTATACTTTAAAAGGGTGCATTGTACAGCATGTAAATTGTCTCTCAGTAAAGCTGTTATTTTTAAAAAACCCAGTGCCACCAGGCTCCAGGAGCAATGCCCAGGCATAATGGGAAGCTGACCAGCATCACGGGGGAGGGCAGGGTCCCTGCAAATGGTGCAGGGACTGCTAGTTTTCCATATAAAAAGCGATGAGCTGGGTCCCAACTCAGCCTTTAGCAAAATAATGATTTCCAGTGGATTGGCGACCACCGTGAGAAGCACTATAACCGTTCAGGGGGCTCCTGATGACCTTGAGGGAAAGTTGGCAATATGCAGTAGGCTAGGTAAGCGTCTGCGCCCTATGGCCGCCTCATTCCCCTGCCAGGTTTGTGGCCTAGAAGCCCACGCACGGTGGAAAGCTGTTTATTGCAGCACTGCTTGTCCTGGCGATAAACTGGAAATAGCCAAGCATTCTTCAGGAGCGGAATGATTAATAAAATGTGGCGTATGCATATAATGGAGTACTATGGAGTTAAAATGAATAAATTAGGACTAGATGAATTAACACGGACAGCTATGCCAAACACGCTGAGCCCAAAAGTGAACTGCAGCACGGAGCCCACAGAGCGAGGCTGTGCCTGTACATTTCTACAGGCGGCTCCCAGGAGCCATGGTCTCCGCGGAGGGAGGGGAAGGGACTGGAGAGGGGAGCAAGGTGCCTCCACCTGTACCTGTGATGCTACTTTTCTTCCTGAGGGAAGTAGAATCTGAAGCCAAAATGGTGGGAAAAGTTTAAATCAGGCTCGGTGCCTGCCTGCCAGGTTGACGGGGATTCCAGGGTCCCCTGCTGAGTTATCCAGAAAGCAGGGTCTCACCTGGTACAGGGGGTCCAGCCAACTCCCATGGCCAAACAGAGGCAGCCCTGGCAGGGCCCGTCCACCGCACCTGGGGCTCCTCTGCCACAGGTGTGGGAGCTGCTGGGCCCACTGCAGCCATGGCCCACCCCCCAGCCACGGGCCAGGTCAGCGTGGCCTTTGAAAGATGGGCAGACAAGTGGGTGGCTCCCCGTATCAGAGACACGATCCTCTGAGGGCCCCACCGCGGCCTGGAAACCCCCATGTCTGATTAAAATCCCCTGAATGAGACGTGGGGTCTGCTGTCCAGGGCTCCCCATCTCTGAAAGGCCCCTTCACGGACCATGGGCCTCTTTCTTGCTAAAAGCAGGGGAAACAAAGGCACAGGTTAGATTCTGAGCAGGGTGCCCCCGAGGCTGTGTCATTGGCAGGGGACCTGTGACCCCAAGAAGAGAGCCGGCTGGGGAAGTGCTAGGTGACAGATGCTGAGGGGCAAAGCTAGATGGGCTAAGGCCTTTTGGTGCCTCATTTTTTTTTTTTAAAGATTTTATTTTTTTCCTTTTTCTCCCCAAAGCCCCCCCGTACATGGTTGTATATTCTTCATTGTGGGTCCTTCTAGTTGTGGCATGTGGGACGCTGCCTCAGCGTGGTTTGATGAGCAGTGCCATGTCCACGCCCAGGATTTGAACCAACGAAACACTGGACCACCTGCAGCAGAGAGCGCGAACTTAACCACTCGGCCACGGGGCCAGCCCCTGGTGCCTCATTTTTTATAAACCTCACCCCAGGGGACACCTGCCTCAGTTTCCCCAGGCTGAAAGCTGACCCCAGATCCACCTCTTCAGGGTATGATGGAAAAAACCAGGGGTCACTGTGAGAGTGATAATGATCACTAATGTGCACTGAGTAACTGCTCTGTGCCAGGGGCTGGGCCTCAGTGGACCCTCCCAAGAGCCTCTGCAGTCACATCTGTCACTGTCTCCATTTTACACCCGGGGGGACTGAGGAAATGAAGCACTTGCTGTGCCACCTGGGCATCTCCTTCCTTCTCTGGCCCTCTGGTCTCTGCGAGGGGCCTTAGGTGAGCAGCAGTCGCTGTGCAGAAGGGACGAGGGGTGGCGCTGCTGGGTGGGAGGAGTGGGTCCTGACAGTGAGGGAGGGGGCAGGCCTCAGGGGCTTTGCCAGCGTGGCTCCCTGCCTACACAGGTCGCACTCCAGAGGAGCTTCAGCTGGAGTGGTGAGGTGAGGCGGGAAGGGTGCTCCTGGCAGAGGAGACAGCAGGACAGAGGACCATCTGAGGGAACTGTCTCTGGCTGGAGGCCCTGAGGCTGGTGGCCACCATGAGGGCCCGGTGGCCGGGTGAGGGGTCACTGGATGGACCAGCCGTGCGGCGCTGAGGGCGTGGGGATCCTGGAACAACTTTCCTTCCAGAGGCTTCCAAAGGCCGGGTGGGAGATGCTCCCCTGTTCCTCCTCCTTACGCCCAGAGCAAAGGACAGGTTGCAGAAAACAAAATACCAATAAATAGCAAAATGGCCAGCAAGCGTATGGAAGCTTGTCAGGAACTGAAGACATTCACCATCTCTGGGTGAGGCTTAAGAGAACCCCCAGCGTGTTTTACAAGTCAGGTTGATTGAGTATAATTTACATACAGTAAGTTTCTCCCCCTTTGAAGTTTGACTGACGATCCGATCTTGCTACCACCACCGCAGTCAAGACAGCGAACATTTCACCCTAGAAAGCTCCCCCAGGTAACCACTCACTTGTTTTCTGTCCCAATAGTTTGCCTTTTCCAGACTTTCTTAAAAAGCAACCATACAGTGTGTCACCTTTTGAATCTGGCTGCTTTCGTGGTATCACACGCGGTGGGGCATCCATGTGGCTGCGAGAGCCAGCAGCTTAGTCTTTCTTTCTGCGGAGCATGGTGCACCAGACAGAGCAGCCACACGTGTGATCAGTTCCCTTCGGGTTGAAGAGCACGTGGGTTGTGTCCAGTTTTCGGTGACTCTGCAAAGCTGCTGAAGACCGGGTTTCTGTGTGGACCTGTGTCTTCATTTCTCCCTCCAACCCCCAACTTTTGTCAATACGTAATTTCTAGTGTTTCTGTAAAGAACTAGTATTATTTATGTAATGAAAGTCACAATTGAAAAAATAATAAATGCAAAGTAAAGGAACAATGAGATACCACTTTCTACCTTTCAAACCAGCAAGGGTTTTTAAGGTGATGCTACTCCACTCTGTCGAGGGCAGTGTGCCAACCACACAGCCTTTCCAGAGGGCCGTTTTGGCAAAAGGAAGCAAGCAGCTTGACACGTGCAGGCCTTTGGGTGGGTAATTTCACTTCTAGGAATTCTTTCATTCATCCAGCAGATGTTTATGGAGCTACCCAGTGCCAGGCACTGAGCTGGGTGCCAGGAAGCTGGTGGTGGGTGAGACAGAAGCGGTCCTTGCCCCCAGAGACCCTCAGCAAGGGCAGGGAAGTTGTCACTCAAATGTCTATGCAGGGACAGGGTGAGAAGTTCTGCAAAGGAGAGGTTCTAAACCTCCTGTCCTGGCTTCTGAGCACCAGCCCTGTGCTGAGCAGCTGTGTGACCTTGGACAAGTCCCTCTACCTCTCTGAGCCTCCCATGAAGATAGCTGTTCTGCATTCAAAGTCTAAGGCACCTATGGAGGGAGCTGGCTCGCAAGCCAGGCTTCCTTCTTGCAGAAGCATTGCTGTTACTGCCCTGGAGGCATTTTTCCTCCCTCAACGCTTCAGTGACGGAGCGGCAATGGTTGTACAACCCTGGGAATATACTAAAAACGCTGCATTGTACACTTTAGAAAGATGAACTTTATAGTATGTGGATTATATCTCAATAAATCTCCCATTAAAAAGAAGAAAATTTCCAACAAGGGACCACCTCTGCTAAAAATGTTTTTCTGGTGGGAAATGTGAGCTTTGTGAAAGTCAGACTTCCAGAAACAAGGAAAATCCTCTTTCCTAGCGGGATGGAGGGGCTCCGTGTTAGCTCCAGAAATGGGCATGTGAGCAGAAGTCCAGGTGAAAAAGGAACCACTTGCTTCTCCCTCTGCTGCTGGCCGCCCACCTCCGCCACACAAAGTGGTGCTGGGGAATCCGACGACCAGGACGAACGGGGCCCAGGGACGTCTCTCCCGGGACAAAAAGCTCTTCCAGGCCCCGCTGGCTGCCTCTGACCCACAGCTTCTCCCCGACCCTCTGCCTGTCCCTTGGTTATAATTCCAGGTACCTGAAGCCCGATGTGGACAAGAAATCCAAACACAAGACGGCAGTGAAGAAGAAGACCCTGAACCCAGAGTTCAACGAGGTGCGAGGGGCTGGGGGGCTGCAGGGAAGCCATGCACTCTCCCCTGGGGCACGGGGCCCTGCAGGGACTGGGTTTCCAAAGGCCACTGTGGGAGATGGAGAGCTGGAGAGCTGGAAGAGAGGGTGGTTGGGGGCCGACAGGAGAGCTCCCAGCCGTGGGGGGCAAGGGGAGGGGCAAGGCCAGGCTGAACCAGGCCAAGGTGGTACAGATGGAGGGGAGGGGGCCTGGAAAGCTCCTCAGAGGATCGAATTGACGGGGTTGTGGCCATGGTGGATGTGGATGTGGAAGTAGGGGACCCAGCAGCAGGAGGAGGAGGCCCCAGGGAGATGGGAGAAGCTCTGGGTGGGATGTGGGGACTGAGATGCCCCGGGGAGATGGGTAGGTCAGGTGCAGAGGGATACCCAGGTCCTCGGCCCAGCAGGGGGGTGGTGGGGGGCTGCGGCTGGAGAGGAGGTCCGAGGAGCGAGAGGAGGGAGAGGAGCAGAGGGGCCTCCGGCAGGGCACAGGCGGAGGAGGCTGAGGAGATGCTTCTGGAGAGTGAGGGGGATACTGGATGCAGGAGCATCCCAGAAGCGGGTAGGAGAGATGGTTCTACCAGAAGGGAGTGGTCAGCAGAGCCAGACCCAGGAGAGGTCAGTCATGCCAAGACTGCCAGGTGTGCACAGACTTGGCAATAAGGAAGCTCTTGAGAGAGCGGCTTCGGTGACAAAGGGCAGATGGGTTGGAGGGAAGGGGAGCCCGAGGACCCGGCTGGGCTCTCAGGCAGAAGATGGGTGAGAACCCACCATCGTCCGCCACCTGCACTGCCCGCCCTCCCATTCAGCCCTCCCACACTCCCTCGGTTCCCGCCCTCACCACACCTCAGAGCCCTCCTGGCCACCGGCCCAGTTCCAGGCATTGGCCCTGACTCTCCTCTTCTGGCCACCAGGAGTTCTGTTACGAGATTAAGCACGGGGACCTGGCCAAGAAGACCCTGGAGGTCACCGTTTGGGATTACGACATTGGAAAATCGAATGATTTCATTGGTAAGAGGAGGTGATGAGAGAGCCACATGCCCGTCCTGGGTTCAGCAAAGGGCACTGGCCCTGATTGAGGCCACAGACCCTCCTTCCAGGCCTCTGGGGAAAGCTGGGGCCATAGACCACCTCTCCCCAGACATGAGGGGCCTCAGACACTATCCAGCCTGACCCCATATGACAGAGGAAGAGAGGCCCAGAGAAGGAAAGAGGCCTGGGAGGGTCACACAGCAATCCCTGGTGGAGCTGGGCTGAGAGGTAACAATGGTCAGTGCCTCTGGCTGGACTCAGCCTTTATGACCCCGAATTCCTGGTGGGCTTGGTGGCCGTGCACACTGGAGCCGCCCTGGCCCTTTCTTCCCCTTTTTTGCCCCCATCCTTCATCCTCTAACACATGCCCCTGCACTCTGCCCCCAGCACAGCTCTGGTCCTGGGGGATGGAAGGGCAGGATCCTGGGCCCCAGTGGGGGGGCGGCCAAGAGTGTGGCGCAGGGGTGAGACCACTGTTTACTCTCAGAGCCCGGGGGGCAGGGTGGAGAATCTGGCCTTGGAACTCGAATCTTGGAGAGGGTGTCGGGGGGCCCTGGTCCCAGAGGGACAGGCCTGTGGATGACCCTGGGAGTCAGGAGATCACTGGGTCCCCGCTGCCCCCTCGGCTCCCCTCCTGCAGGTGGCGTGGTCCTGGGCATCAACGCCAAGGGCGAGCGCCTGAAGCACTGGTTTGACTGCCTGAAGAACAAGGACAAGCGGATTGAGCGCTGGCACACGCTCACCAACGAACTCCCGGGGGCCGTGCTCAGCGACTGACCCGCCCTCACCTGCTGCCGCGCCCGCCCTGCCCTCAGCTGGCCCAGCGCGGGCCGGGCCCTGGGCTTCCTCAGCTGCCAGCGAGGGCCTTGGCCCCCATGTCAGGGGAGATCCAGGACGCCTGCTCGGACACAGAGCCACTGTAGCCCCCGCCTGGAGGCCACGGAGGGCCCAGCCACTCGGAAGGACAGTGAGGGCAGAGAGCTGGGCCTGCTTTCAGCCCCGGGTTCCCGAGAGGGCCGGAGATGGGAGGAGAGGACCCCGGCCTCAGCACCCACCTGGGGAAGGGGAAGGGGCCGTCCGGGGATCGAGGACCCTACTAGCGGTCAGCAGGAAGTCACAGGGGACCCCAGGCTGAGAGAACAGGAGTGTAGGGGCATCCTGGCAGGCAGTGAGAACTCCTGAGAGGGACACTGGGGAGGGGGCATAGCGGGGAGGAGATTGTGGACAGAGGCAGGACAGGACTCTGGAGCAGTTTTATTCCCAGAAGGAGGTTCTGACTGCATCCCTTCATCTCTGGCGTTACTGGGCAGGTGGCAGAAAGGCGACACGAGAGCCAGGAGTCTGGGGATGTTCCTAGAGGCCCCAAGAACGTGAGCAATTGGCAGGTGCTGCACTCGATGATTCCACGAGCCCCTGGGAATGAAGAAGACCCAGGGCCTGCCCTCAGGGAGTTCCCATCTAGTCAGGATGCTGGAAACAGCCCATCACACTGGGAGTGAGGAGTGCCAAGGCCAGGCTGGCCCACTGCAAGTGCTGTGGATTCTGCCAACTCTGCTGGGTGGGCAGGGAGGGCTTTCCAGAGGAGGCGATGCTTCAGAAGACCTTGAAGGACGAGTGGAGTTTCCAGGCAGACAAAGGAGAAGGGCAGTGCAGGCAGAGGGAGTGTCCACAAGGCCTGGAGGGAGAGAGTGGTGATTGGGCCAGGGGTGCTGTGCAGGACCCAGGGTCTCTCTCTGGGGGGGCAGGCTTCCTCAGGACAGGAGTGGGGCCCAGCGGGGACAGCAAGCAGCCCCGCTCCCGTCTCACCCCTGGCTGCCAGGCCAGCCTGGACTCCTCGCTGTGGGGGAAGTGGCGGGAGCACGGTGGTGAAACTGACGTCGGTGCAGGGTCAAGTTCAGGCCTCACCCGCAGTCCTCCCACCTTCTGTCTTTCTCCTCCGGAGGAACCCAGAGGCTGGCTCCTGCTTCTTGTTCCCAGCTTAAGCATCAGGCCAGCTCAAGAAGAGAGAAGGGTCCCTTTCTTTTGCATGAAAAGGAGCAAAGAGTCCTCCTTGTCCTCACCCTCCTCTTCCCTTCCCCTGCCCAGGCCTGGGCCCTTCTGGGGTCAGGGCTGGGTAGTGGGGGGCCCCAGGTGGCTGCCCAGGCATCTGGCCCTGCCGTGGCCACTGACGTCCCTCTCAGGAGTGCTGGGTGGCAGTGCAGGGCCTCGTTTCTGGGAAGCCTGTGGGGCCAGCTCCGCCCTCCAGGGACTGAGAGAGACCCTGCCTGGTGGGCCTGTCTGTACCCTGAGGCAGGGTCCCCAGGGAGGGGTTGACGGCATCGAAATCTTGGGGCCCAGGTCTGAAGCTGCAAACTTCTCCTGCCCTCTGAGGGGCCTTCAGGAATGCTGGATGGAGAAATGCAGAACCACAGAATTTCTGTATTCAACCCATCCCTGCACTGATGGGAAACTGAGGCCAGAGAGGGAAAGTGACTTGCCAAAGGCCTGCCAGCCCTGCCACAGCTGGGGTGGCCCAGGCCCAGGGCCCCCGGCCCCCTCCAGCCCAGAGCTCTGGACACCACACTTCGGGGGAAGTAGGGTGCTGGACGCACACGAGAGCCTGCTAGCTGCCCACCTGGGGCTCGCCCCTGCCTGCTGCCCACCCACACCAACGCTCGGAGCAGGGGGCACAGGGGTCGAACCCTCTGCTGCAGACACAAAGCACATCACCATCTGAGGCCTGGGGTGATGATTCGAATCCCACCAAGTGCCATCAGCCCTTTCCCAGTTTGCAGGGAAAACAGGACCCTGGCCCCCACACAGGACCTGGCAAGCTCTGCCGGTCGTGGAGCCTTGGCTCCCCGTCTTTAAGAAGGCTTTGCGTGTGTTGAAGGTTTTATGTGCACCGTCTTAATGAATCTTCACAACCCTCCAGAATGGGTTGAACTGTCACTCCCATTTGACAGATGAGGAAACTGAGATTCAGAGAGTATGGTAGTGTAGCAGCATCACACAGCGGGAAGGGGCGGACCGGGACTCAAGCTCAGGTCCTCTGATTGCCACACTGTCTGGTGTCTGGGGGACTGTACTCCCCAGGCCCCTCCCTCCCGGGCTGGAGGGCGCAGTAGAGGTACTCAAGGAAAGACTCGTCAAGCGCTGGTGCGTGATGGAGGTGTGGGGCCATGTCACTGTCTTGCTGTCTTGTCCTCTAGATGGCTTTGAAATCATTTGTGCCACTTAGGGCTTCCCCCAAGGTCCCCACAGCCCAGGCCAGAACTCAGCTGTCCCTCAGCCTGTGGGCCTGGCCCTGCTCCTCAAGGGGGCTGAGGCAAGGACTCCTCTTTTCTCTACGCAGCTGGAATGGGGGAAGCTCTGGGGGGCTAAGAGGGGAGATGGTCCGTTTTTGAGGGGCCTCGTGTCTGGGTGAGCTCAGGGAGCTTCTTAGCGTTGCCTTTTGGAAGGCCTCGTTCAGAGAGGAGCCTCACAGCCTCCTGTGAAGACATGGAAATGCCGAATGGCAAAGCTGGAGGGGGCTGTGAGTCTCATCTAGTACGATTTCCTTATTAGACACATGGGGAAACTGAGGCCCAACGAGTGGAAGGGGCTTATCCAGGGCCCAGCTGGGACAAGAACCCAGGACTCCTGGCACCCATTCCAGGGCCCTCTACTGCTGCAGGCTGTGCAAGTGTAGACTTGGTTTCGAAAGATGGTCCCAGCTCACCACAGTGACAGGCTGGGAGATGGGGGTTCTGGACAGCAGGACCAAGTGAAGGATGGGGGTGCGTGGGCAGGAGGCCCCCCCAGGGAGTGACGGAACCTTCCCCAGGCCCCTGGCACTGTTCTGGACCCCTTGCAGATTGTACCTCTGTTAAAGCAAAAGCTCTTTAAGAAGCTGCAGTATCAGCTCTGCCTTCGGCCCCAAACTGGCATCTTTCTTCTGGTCCATCAGCCCCACAAAGACGGGAAATTTGACGCCAAAAAAAAAAAAAAAAAAAATCTCATTCCAAAGTCAGGTGCCAGTAACCAAGGGGTCCCACTTGGCTGCGTCCACCTCCCCCCGCATCTCCCTCCCTGGTCTCCGCCCCGCCCCCGTCCCCACGAGCCAATCCCCGACGGGCCCGTCTTCCAACCCTGAAGCGGTAACCTCCTGACCTCTAGTGGCGAGAGTGAGGAACTGCACCTCCCCGGCCCGCGCATGACCTGCCCTTTGTTCCTTCTCCAACCGAGAGAACCTGCCGTTGCATGGACTCTGGCTGTCGTCGGCGCAGACGCTCGTGCACTGCTTCACACCGTTTTGCTACCATGTGACGGCTGCAGAACCTGTCCTTAAACTGCAGCCCCACACACAATTTTTGTACTTTCGTCTGACCTACCCGAAGGTGTCCTTTTTAAGTCTTATTTATTAATATTTATAATGACATATAATCCAAAGTAAATGGAAATGTTCATTGCATCATATTGGCCTGGGAGACTTTCATTTTGATCAGTTTGAATGGGTGGGCGGGAAATAAGGAGAGAATGGCCACGGGGGCTTATTCAGCACATTTTTCTCCTTTGCTCTTCACCAAGAACCCATTTGAGGTAAGTTCCCATGTTACAGATGGGGGAACTAACGCTCTGAGAGGTTAAAATATTGGTGCAGAATCACACAGCTGGTAAGTGTCAGAACCAGGATTCAACTCATGCCTCCTAAGACTTTTTACACCGGGATCTGCATGTCATGCTATCATCCAGTCATTCGACAAACAGCTGTGGGTATTAACTCTAATGCCAGGCCCTGGTCTAGGCACCTGGGGCAGAATCATCAGGAAGTCAGTGAATAGACAGAAATATAATAGTGATGTGTTAAAAGATGATACGAAAAAAAAAGATGGGTCTAAAGGACCTACATGGGCAAGGGAGGTTGGGCTTAAATAAGGAGGTCAGGCCGTCCTCCAGAGAAGGTGCCTTTGAGCTGAGACTTGGAGGGGACGAGGGAGGGAGCTAGGGGCACATTTGGGGAAGAGTGTTCTCGGTGGAGGGAACAGCCAGTGCCCTGGAGGGGGCAGGCCTGGCATGACTGGGGAGTAGCAGGGAGACCCATGTGGCCAGAGCAGGGCCGGGCAAGGGAAGAGTGGGAGCTGAGGGCGCAGGGGGATGGGACCAGCTCGGGTGGGACTTTATAAAGATTGTGGCTTCTGGGCTGGCTGTGGCTGAGCGGTTAAGTTCACATGCTCCCCTTCAGTGGCCCAGGGTTTCACCAGTTTGGATCCAGGGTGTGGACCTAACATGCTCATGAAGCCATACTGAGGCGGCATCCCACCTGCCACAACTAGAAGGATCTACAACTAAAATATACAATTATGGGGCCAGCCCGTGGCCAAGTGGTTAAGTTCGCGAGCTCTGCTTCGGCAGCCCAGGGTTTCACTGGTTCAGATCCTCAGCGCGGACATAGCACTATTCATCAAGCCATGCTGAGATGGCATCCCACATGCCACAACTAGAAGGACCCACAACTAAAAATATACAATTATCTACGGGGGGTATTTGGAGAGAAAAAGCACACACACACAAATATATATATATATACACATACACACAACTATGTACTGGGGGTGTTTAGGGAGAAGAAGGAAAAGTAAAAAATGAAAATAAAGTCTTAAAAAAAAAAAAAGACTGTGGCTTCACTCTGGTGAGATGGGAGCTGCCTTTGGTCCTAACAGGCCACCTGGGAGAAGAACAAACCCGTGGTCCGGGGTGAGTGATCAGACTCAGTTTGGAGGTCCCTCTGGTGGTGATGTGCTAGTGGGTCCAGGGCTCACGGCCTGCTGGTTTCCAGTATGCAGAGCAGCAGCGGCTGGGTCCTAACCCACAGAAGGCGTGCCTCTGGTCGAGGTTGTGGCCCCAGCCTCCCTTAGTGACAGCCTCCAGGCAGGTCTGACTTTCCTGGCCGCCCGCCCATTCTCTGAACTAGCTGATGCCCTTGCCGCGCATTCCTTTTCCGCTTCCGTTAACTAGAGTTGGATCCTGTTATTTTCGACAAGGAACCCTGCTTGGTGCTCTGATGCAACCTGATCGTCTAGGTCTCAAGTGTCTCCTCCTTGAAGGCCTGCCCTGACGACCTCGCCACTTTCTCCTGGTCACCCTGCTTTCTTTTCTTCAGGGCGTTTATCGCCGTAACCATCTTGTGTACTTGCTCATTCCTGTCTCCCCCGCTAACGGTCATGAGAGTTGGGGCCACATCTGTCCTATTTACCATGGTGACCCCGGACCGGGACTGAGCACAGAGGAAGCGTCTAATAGGTATTTGTTGACTGAATGGATGAAAGCTGCCAACACGGACTTTGTTTGAAAGGAGCCAAATCCACGTGCCTGGAGCATGCAATGATGAGGATGCGGGGGCTGAGCCCAGGTGAGTGTGCATGAGACTCCTGTTAGCTCCAGACACTCCGGGGGTACAGATGAGAAAGACCCCAGATGCCACAGGGTTATCCTGAGCAGAGAAAGGGAGAGAATGAGAAGAGGAGGGGAAAGAAGGGAGAAAGGAAGAGTGGAAGGAGAGGGAGAGAGAACGAAGAAGGCTGAGGGGAACTGAGGAGGAAAGGAAGGGGTGGGACGGCAGGAGTGGGCCTGGGAAGAGCCGTGAAGGCGGGCGGGGGTCAGGAAGGCCAGCCACTGCTCCAGCGCATGCCCCGAGCCCCAGCGGAAGGGGCAGCCCAGGATGGGCGGAAGGTGCAGCTTTCCGTAGTGTCCAGCCCCCAGGGAGAGTGCTCCAGGCAGGGGCTGAAGAGGGGTCTAGAAACAAAGCACACCGGGAGGATGTCCCCACATCAAGGGCCAGCAGCAATGGGGACAGAGAAGCAGACTCATTGTCCACTGGAGCCAGGGTTGTAGTAGTAATCCTGATCGCCGAGATTCGTTGGGGCATGAACAGGCACCGTGCTAGACTCTTTACGAACTGCTAACTGGATCATCTCCCAGCCAGGAAACCGCACAGAACAAGTCTGGAGATGAGTGGAAGATGAGATGGAGCGCTAAATGGCAAGGCCGACAGATGGAAGGCTCAGAGCTCAGCCCTGAGGCTGAGAAAGGCCTGGCTGTGTGAGGCAGGCATAGGTGAGGGGCAGGACGTGGGCACATATGGCTTCCCGGGAGCGGCACTGCCCTCTGTGGGCGCTGAGGCCTGGCCGCGGCATTGCTTGCTCACAGGGACACCCTAGGGCAGCCCCCAATGAGTAGGGCAGCCTCCTCCAGAGACTCTGCTCTACCCCAAAAAATTCCCCCCCAGTGAAGGCAGCAGCCACGCACGTCCGCCCCACAAGCCCTGAGCACAGGGGCGGGGGGAGTAAAAAGAGGACTGTCTGGGGGCAATTAGTTCCTGTTATTTGAGTGGGAAGGGAGGCCTCGAGGACTGTGAGAAAATAACAGGGACCAGAGAGAAGGTGCCAGGGTTACAATCTTAGCAGCAGTAACACCTATGGTGAGCTTTCAGTAAGGCATGCAGACTGATCCAAGTGTTGTACTCATTGAATCCCCATAATCATGAGATACTGTTTTAATCCTCACTTTTCAGATGGGAAAACTGAAGAAGAGAGGGGCATGCTCAAGGATAATTAAAGAGCAGAACTGGGATTTGATCCCATGCCTTGTATCAAGACTCCAAACTCTTTGATGTCTATACTGTGCTGCTGGACAAAGTAGATGGTGTTGCCAGGCCTGGTATAAGACTCCAGGTCCCACCGAGTCCCTTGCAGGTTCAGCTGCGCTTGCCCGCAGGCTCCCAGACGCAGCAGGGTCCTACTCTGAGGGCAAGGATTTCTCGGGGCTCACCCTCAGGGTCCTCGCTGTCAGTCTTGAGCGAATGCAGCACTCCTCTTTGCCAATAGGCTCCCAACTGTCACAAGCCCCAGTTCCCCTCTGTGTGTCCCTTGGCCACAGCCAGGTGAGAGCTCTAGTCTGGAGAAGAGATGGAACTGGGGGGCACTTGCCTGGCTGCCCAGGGGCCAGCTGTGAGACAACATGAATTTACTGCATTATGGGAATCGGAAAACTGGGGAACCAAGATCTCGCAGAGCCTCCTGGGTTCTCCCCTCCACTGCTGTGCGCCCTCGTCTGCCCTCCTGCCCCTCTCCGCACACTCGCTTTCTCAGATGATACACCAGCACATCAATGACCCAAAATGGTGGCCTCAGCCCTGAGTCGGAGTGGCTTTCAGCTTGGCTCTCCACAGCTACCTAGGAACATTTTCTGATTCTTCGTTTAGCTTCTCAGGAGAGAAATGGCTCAGTCCAGGTTATGACTCACTTCCTTGGCCCAAAGGGCCAGGGGGTGAGGTCACACAATAAAACAATGGCTGTGGACAAGGCACACGGGGTCAAACATGTCTGTCACAAGAAGTCCCTGAGCATTATGAGCCAGTGGGAAAGGACGAAGGAGAGGTGCCAGGCATGGGAAAGAAGGGACAGGAGCCAAGGCACAGTGCCACGGTATCCTAGGGCAGATGCCATTCCAACAGCAAAGGCTAGGAAACAGCCCAGACCAAAACACTAAAAAACAAGGGAAAGATTTAAACGATCAACAGAGTGAAAAAACACCACTATGGTCCATCTGAAGGCTGGAAAGTCAGGCAGCCATTTCCATTTTTAATTATGAACACTGTGAGGTATCTTGGAAATATGTGATAGAAAGTGAAGGGAAGAAAGAAGGATTAAAATTGAGTGCAGAGTGCCATCCTTTTCATGTTCAATGTTCTCATTGTGATAAAATATACATAAAATTTATTATTTTAACCACTTTCAAGTTTACAATTCAGTGGCATTAAGTACATTCACCATAGTGCAATCATCACCATGCTATTTCCAGGACTTTTTCATCATCCCAGAAACTCTGTATCCGTTAAATAGTAACTCCCCATTTCCCACTACCCTAGACTCTGGTATCCTCTATTTTTTTCTGTCTCTATGAATTTGCCTATTCTACATACCTCATATAATTGGAATCATATAATATTTGTTCTT